AAAAAAAAAAAAAAAAAAATGGCAGGGTCCAAAGAAGAGCCAGGGCCACGGAATTGTGCCTTGGGTTACATACCTTGGTTACCATACCAGCAGTTTTTATTCTGTACGCTTTGAGTTAAATGAAACACATCAAATATTTGGTTTGTGCCTCTGACTTCAAAGAGTTAGGAAATATTGTAGGGAATTTTCCAAGGACAAATGCCAGAAGTAAACAAAATATTGTTACTTGAAAGAAAAACTCTAATCCTAGAAATTTCATTTAGTTGGAATACTGCATTTGTAGGCAGAGCATGCCAAAAGTTACAACTATAAGAAAACTCTCATGTTGGTGGCTGAAGTTTTGGATGAAAATAAGCATTCACGAGGAACAGATGCCTTTGCTTATTTTGTGAATGAGTGTGTGTGTGCCTGTGTGTGTTCATTTGTAGGGCATGTCTATCTGTTAAGGGAACTAGAATGAATTCATTGAAGGAGCTGTTTGTTTAAACTCCAAATATTTCCCTCACTTATCATAAGCATTCTTAATAGAATTTAAATATCACTCATGTTGTTAAATCAATAGCAGAACCACCTTGCCATGCCCTCGAGATTTCGATGTTATAGCGAAACATACCCCTTCCCCATCCTCCTCTCTTTATGACTCCAGTGAGTGACTTGAGGACCAGAACAATGGCCTGCTCCCTATTACAGAGTTATAGACCCCGAAAGAGAGCAGGCGTCTAAAATAGTTTTTAAATTGGTAATTTTTCACTGCCGCCCCCAATTTTACAGATTTGCTTTCGATGTTAATAGAATGTACTTAAAACAAATTTTAATAGCAAATCATCTAATGAAAATAAAGTTCTACCACAGGACATGTTTTATTCTGCTCCTCTAGCTGCCTCAGCCTCTCAGACAAGGGTGAGGGAGAGAGGACACTTTGGTGCCTCGTTGCAGCCTCGTTCAAGGCCACCTCTTATCTCACTGGCCACTCGTGGTCTATCAGGTGACAGTCAGGTGGCGTGGCTGACTTACATCCAGATAAGTCTTTGTGCAGATGATGTCTCAAGAAAAGATTTAGGGGGCTGGAGAGATGGCTCAGAGGTTAAGCACACTGGCTGCTCTGCCAGAGGTCCTGAGTTCAATTCCCAGCAACCACATGGTGGCTCACAACCATCTAAAAATGAGATCTGGTGCCCTCTTCTGTCCTGCAGGGATACATGAAGGCAGAACACTGTATTAATAATAAATAAATCTTTTTTTAAAAAAGAATTAGTTGGCATGGTGGAAGGAAGAGGCAAGACTGGTCTGCCATGTTTCATTACTCAGACCCTTGCTCTATCCCAGAAGTCCCTGAGTCCATAGATTCCCTGCAGGATGGCTGCTGAGGAACCGATCAGTACAACACTCTAAGTTTAGAACATGCATGAATGACATGTGCCTCTGGTAGATCTGCCCACAGCATCTGAGCATCTAGCTTCCTGCCTCATACCTGTTAGATCCTCCAAGAAGCATGGCAGATGAATGAACATTTTTAAATGTGAGTGGATTTTAAACCCGGTCCCAGTGCAATCATAACCCACAAGTGGTCTTTCATGGCTTTCAAAAGCACGCAGTAACAGAGTGAAAGGAAAACTCAGAAAATATTTGGTAATCATCCCTGATAAGAGATGAATATGCAGAATCTATAACGAATTCCTGTAAGTTAACAATGAGAACAAACCGGGCTGGTGAGATTGCTTACAGGGTACAGGCCCTTGCTGCCAAGCCTGACTTCAGTCCCTGGGGTCCATGTGGTGGAGAGAGAGATCCGCCCCCCATAAGTTGTCCTCTGAAGAGATTGTGAAACACTTATGTCTCCTATTGAAAGACCCCCAGGGGAGATCTTCCCTCAGGGAGAGACCCCGGACCCGGGAAACACACCGAAACCACAGATCAGATGCAAACAGCA